GCAACACTCCTATATTAGGAGTACAAATGCCACATGGAAGCTGGTACCTTGTACAAGATCTATGAGCCATTAATGAAGCATTTGTGCCCCTACATCCTGTAGTACCTAATCCCTATACCCTGTTATCCAGGGTTCCTGAGGGAGCAGCATGGTTTACTGTGCTAGACCTGAAGGATGCTTACTTTTGTATCCCACTTGTACCTGAATCCTAGTTGCTCTTTGCTTTTGAGGATCCAGTAAATCCCTCAGCTCAATTAGCCCAGACAGTTTTGCCCCAGGGATTCAGAGGTAGCCCACATCTATTTGGGCAGGTCTTAGCAAGGACCTGGCCTCCTTTGATTCAAGGGAGGCAGAAATCATCCAATATGTGGATGATATACTTCTCTGTACCACCACAGAGACAGAGTGTCAGGAAAGTACTCAGAGATTATACTGAACTTTCAAGCTGATTATGGCTATAAAGTCTCTCATCAGAAAGCGCAGATCTGTCAGCAGCAAGTAAAATATCTGGGCCTTAACCTCAGGGAACTAGAGCCCTGCGGGAAAAGAGAATACAGCCTATTCTCTGCCGCCCATTGCCCTCTACTATCAGGCACTTGAGGGAATTCTTGGGCATCACTGGGTATTTCAGAATTTGGGTCACCAGATATGGAGAGTTAGCCAGACCCCTCTACCAACCTCTTAAAGAAGTCCAAAGGGAAGGCACCATAAAACTCCAGTGGGAACCTGATGCTTTTAAAGCTTATGAGGCTTTGAAGAAAGCCCTACTCCAGGCCCCCACCTTAAGCCTGCCCACTGGAAACCGGTTTAACCTGTTCATTACTGAGACATCAGGAGTGGCACTGGGAGTACTAACTCAACCTCGAGAGAAATGCAGCAGCCCATAGCCTATCTAAGCAAGGAACAAGACCCAGTAGCTAAGAGCTTGCCACACTGTCTGAGATCTGTGGCAGAAGTAGCCCTGCTACAACCTGAAGCCAGAAAATTGACCCTGGGAAGAGACAATAGTGCATGCAGTAAGATAAATTTTAGCCAAAATAAGCAGGTGAAGAGAGGCAACAAAGGGCCAGGTAGTTTATTTGAGTGCAACTCTAGGGTGATGTTCTGTGGTCTGGGTATTACAGGCCAGGGAAGTCACACCCCATCAGGGAGGTGGGGGCTTGTAAGGGATTAGGAGGGGGAGGATTGGGCAAGCTATCCTAGGGGGCATGGAGAGGTATGATTGGCTAAAGGTGACAGACAACTAGAAACTTTTTTCCTTCCAAGAGTGAGGAGGCTGACATCCAGGTCTTTCTTGGCACATCAGAAGAATGGAATTCAGGAAGAGCTGTCCCCTTTCCATATAAGGCATGGACCTTGGGGTCTGGTCTGTTCTCCCCCTATGACATCTCTCTGTTCTGTTTGCATGTCCTTTTTTTTCCTTCCTCCATCCTAACATTCCAGCCTTTTGGTCATAATGGACAACAACTCGATCTGGCTACTTCCGGCTGACAAGGGGCATCGTGGGGGTTTGAGGCTGGTTTTAGGCTGAGGGAAGGGGTTCAGTGGGAAGAGGTGCATAATGGTGAAGTAACAGCTGATTGGTGGCGACCTGGTCATCTGGATTAGCTGCTGTTGGAGGAAACTGAGGACACAAGGAGCAGCTAAGAGTAAACCACAAACTGTTATTAAGGGGCCCAGTAGGGGCACTAGCCAGGCCATTATGGGGGACTGGAATTCTGGATCAAGTTTACATCTCAATGACTAGTATTGGGATTTAGTATAGATAAGACTGCATTATTGAAACAATACTTTTCTCTAAAATCACCCTCATTTTTATTAGAAGTAGCCAGATTAAGAAAATAATTAACAGTTGGCTTGATTATTTGCATAAGTGCAGCAAGAAGAGCAATTGATTACATAGGCTCTTTTAAATATGCTTTGCTGGAACTTTTTATAAGGAATTTCAGATTGGACTTTTAAAGGCTTCTTGAGGCCAAAGAGCCAAGCCAGACTTGCCATCAGGTTGTGCCTGCAGTACCTGTACATTTGGGTGAATTCCTTTCTTCTCTGAGGTTCCCAAGACATTCTTGAGGTCCTTGCACCTGCCCTGCCAGGCAGTGACCTTCCTTACTCATCTGGTAAGGCTACTGGGAACTCTGTAAGCAAGGTACCAGGCCAGTTCTTTTAAGGGACTTTGTTGGCTTTATAAAGTCAATCTTAGTTCCTTAAAGCTGTCTGTTCATATCTGAGTTTACACACGTGTCTCTCAGGTATGACATTCCAGTCAAAGCCTTGGTAATATAACCAGTGTTTTTAATTGGTCCTCTTACAAGGAAAGCAGATTCTTATTGAACTTGTGCAAATAAACATACTGCCATGAAATATAAAAATAGTCACTGAGATTTTTTTAATTCTGGAGGGATCAGGCAGAGAGAGAGAAAGTTTCAATTCTGCTTATAAAGGCAGTCATTTACTAAACTGTTGTCAGCTTAAGAGATAAAGCTTAAAACACTTTATCAACATTTGAAACAAAAAGCCACAAAATCATCTTCCTTAGTTTACTTAATCCTATGTAATTAATACCTGTTCTGAAGAAATCTAGTTCTTTACTAGCTTAAGAGTAATAAAACAGTGACTATAAATAATAAAAAACTTAATGACAATGGTTAAAGATTTGATGAGAGCTTACTGTAAGGCAGTTGACATAATGAAATTATGATATTTCTGTAACACAAAACACTAACTAACAAAGTTTAGCATTATTCTTTTTGACAGTGCTTTCTAGGTAATTAAGCAGGTAATTATATATCAGATAAATAAGTTAAATTAGTCAAATACTTCTCCAGTGAGAAAAAGTTCCTCTGACATGTTCCAGGGGCCCTCTGGAAAATATCAGAGTTAACTAGAGGTAAAAGTACCTTTTTGAATTTGATTTTGGGAATTTGTCAAAAGAAAGTTTATTTGGCACTTGCTTAAATAGGATTATAGGTTGCCATGAAGCAATACTTATCTATCTAACTAAAATGACAGCACCAGTGAAAGGGTATCTCGCTGCCACCCTCCTTACCCCAGAATGGCTCAGGAGACATGGGCCCATGCAAGAGATTTTATTATCTGAAAGAGAAAAGGACTGAGCAGAGTAAGAGGCTGACAATCTTTAACTGGAGATTGGGCTAGGAGAACCTGAATCATTGAACACTTAACATAAAGGTCTGGGTGGGAGTGCAAAGTCCAAAAAGCCTGCACATATGGGATTTCACTCTACTCTCTGCTCTGGTGGCAATAATTAATCAAGTTGGTGAGGAGGCTAAAATTGAAAGTTCCCTCAGGGGGCCAGCAAGATTGATTGTCCAAGGGATACTGAGGCCTGGCCTCAGAGCAAAGGAAGATTAGCTTTTATTTGTGAACTTCCCGGGACAAATATAGAGTAGCCAAATTAGAAATGAGACACTGCAGTGGGTTATGAGCCTCTGCTTTTGAGGGCTGGTTCCCCATGTCTGTGCCACTTCTCAACTAATCCTGCTGAGAGATGCACCCAGCGTCCCAAGTGCACCAAGTCAGGGGAGACATCCTGGGAGCCTGGGTGAGGGATGTCTTCCCCATCACAGGGCCAGGGGCAGGCCGTATGCCTGCAGACATCCTGGGGGTCTGGGGTAGGGATGTCTCCCATGCCACAGGGCCAGGGGTGGGCTGGATGCCTGCAGAGGGTGGGCTGAATGCCAGGGGCCGGATACCCCACCTGGACGTAAGTACAATTTCTAACGGACTAGGTGAAATGGAGTTAGGAAGGGAAACAGATCGGGGGAAACTGAAGGACTCACCAGAAAATAGTCCATGCAGCGGAGAGCAGACTGAGGTCCTGGGTTGGGGAAGGAGGGGCAGGGCCACTGGTGGCCAGTCGGGGCCCCATGCTCACGCTCCTTCCCAGGATTTTGGCACCAAATGTAATATAAATTTTAGCTGAAATAAGCAGGTGAAGAGAGGCAACAAAGGACCAGGTAGTTTATTTGAGTGCAACTCCTGGGTGATGTTCCATGGTCTGGGTATTACAGGCTGGGAAAGTCACACCCAGTCAGGGAGGTGGGGGCTTATAAGGGATTAGGAGGGGGAGGAGTGGGCAAGCTATCCTAGGGGGTGTGGAGAGGTATGCTTGTCTAAAGGTGACATAATAGACAACTAGTAACTTTTTTCCTTCCAAGAGGGAGGAGGCTGACATCCAGGTCTTAGTTGGCACAGCAGGATGGGATTCAGGAAAAACTGTCCCCTTTCCATATAAGGTACAGACCTTGGGGTCTGGCCTATTCTCCCCCTATGGTGTCTCTCTGTTCTGTTTGCATGTCCTTGTTTTTCCTTCCTCCAGCCTAACACATGCACCCCTTATTGAACACCTGGGGGGGAACACCTTGGAGGACCTGTGGTTATCAGACAGAAGGCTACTAAAGTATCAGTCACTCCTCCTTGAGGGCCCTGTAACCCAGCTGCAGATATGCACCACCCTGAATCCAGCTACCTTTCTACCTGAATCATTGAGCAAAGGACCTGAGCATGACTGCCAACAGGTCCTTGCCCTAAACTATTCTGCCAGAGAAGACCTAAAAGACAGCCCCTTAGAAAACCCAGAGCTTGTCCTCTTCACAGATGGCAGCTCCTTTATTGAGCAGGGCCAGCAGAAAGCTGGCTATGTAGTTGTCACTCTGTGGGATACTATTGAGTGCCAACCACTTCCACTGGGCATGAGTACACAGCTGGAAGAATTAATAGCCCTCACTAGAATAAGAATATAGTACTTTATCCTCCATTTACCCCATGGTCCCAAGCACACAGGGCAGTGAAAATCATTCCTGGACTTGCCGGACTTGTCTGGACTTGCCTCACCTTATCTCTAAACATTCTGACCCTCCCCCAAGGCAACAGGCCAAGCAGTACTTTTCCACTCCACCACTATAAAAGGCACAATGCTCTGCACCACGGGGCTGCTCCCTCTCTCTGGGTGCAGCCATTTTCTCTTTCAGATAATAAAATCTCTTGCATGGGCCCATGTCTCCTGAGCCATTCTGGGGTAAGGAGGGTGGCAGCGAGATACCCTTTCATTGGTGCTGTGACTTGGATGAAGTTCTCCCATTGACTTTGCTCTTCCTCCGGGAATCTGAGCTGCTTTGGGAACCCTCACTGCCCGATCCTCCTCCACAGGCTCACCGTCCATTTCCCCGGTCACTTGTCTTCTCACCCAACACTGGCCTTCGATTTGGTAAGTCTCCCCTTCATGGTTGACTTAAATGTCCCTTTGAAACCTGGGAAGTGGCCATTGAGTGTCCGGCACCCCCAAGGGTTCCTCCAGGACAGGGGCACCCCCAACCATGACTTTCAGAGTCACAGTTGATCTCCATAGTCAACCCTTCTCTGCCTCCCCACAGTGTGAATCCTCATTCACTGAGGCCCGGTCTCCCTTTATCTACTTGTGAACTCCTGGTACCAGGTACCGAGCCTCCATGGCATTTTTGCCCTGACCACTTGGTTAGAGGTGTTAACGACCCCCTAACTATGTCTGGTCTTCTCTGCAACCTTCTCAATCACTCTGGAATGCCTCAGCAACTTGTGAATGGTCTCATTCTCACCATGGGATCTGGCCCCTCTATTCCCAGAGATTTACCACTAGCGTGCTTACTGCTTACTCAATAATCTAAAATCTCTCCACCTCACTCCAGACCTCAAACCTTTTAAGCTTATTTGCTACTGTAGTGAGATCTGACCACAATATTCCTTGGACAATCAGTCTAAATGGCCTCCCAATGGCTCTTTAGATCTTAAAACTATCTGCGACTTATACAACTTCTGTGAGTGCAAGGCAAATGGAAAGAGATCCCATATACCCTGGCTTTCTCCTACCTCCAAAACAAGCCCTCTCTCTGTCTCCCCTACAATCCTAAACACCTACAACTTGCCTTAAAAGTCCTCACCCTCCAACAAACCAGATCCCACTATATCCTCTGACTTTGACTCTGCTGATGAACTCCCACCCTACCGACCCCATGGCACCTGCTCCTTCTCCTCCTCCTCCTCAAACACCCAGTCCACCCTGTGCAGCCATGGAAACTGCCCAGCATCCTCCCCCTCCAGCCCCCACTAAGTCTCCCACCACAAGCTACCATCAGCGGCAGGGTAATAACCCCACCTCCTTAACTGCAACCAGTTTACCTCCCATCCCGAGATCCCCTGTCAAGCCCTCGAGTCACTCACTCTCGATCCCAGATCCTAGCCCCACTACAGGAGGGCATCATCCAGGTCCATGTCCCTTTCTCTCTCTCTGACCTATCTCAAATTGAGAAAAGATTAGGTTCTTTCACCTCCAACCTGGCTGCTTACATGTAAGAGGTCCAGTACCTAACTCAGTCATATGATCTTACCTTTCATGATATTCACATGATCCTATCCAACACACTTTTGCCCGAGAAGCACAGGCGAGTCTGGGAACAGGCTAGAACTCATGCTGATGAGGTTCACCAAAGTACTACAGCTCATCCAATTGGTGCTGAGGCGGTTCCTGACCGAGACCCTAATTGGGACTATAATATGGCAGGGGGAGTTACCCGTCAAGATCAATTCATCACCTGCCTCATGGCGGGTCTCAGGAAGTCAGCCAATAAAGCCATTAACTATGAAAAACTCCAAGAGGTTATTCAGGATAAAAATGAGAATCCCTTTATGTTCCTAGACTGCCTCACCAAAGCTCTTTTACAATATACAAACCTAGACCCCAAGACCCCAGATGGAAGAGAATTATTAATGACCTACTTCTTCACCCAGAATTTCCCTGACATTAAGGCTAAACTTAGACGTCTAGAGAAGGGCCCCTGAACTCCTCAGGCAGAGGTCCTGGCAGTGGCCTTCAAAGTATATAATGGGATAGATGAAAAGGCCCATAAACAAAAATACCAAATGCTGGTTAAGGCCTTTCAACCCACCCCAACCACTGGTGCTCGGGTATCCTCACTTCCTAAGAAACAGCCAGGAGGACCTCCTGGTCCATGCTTCAAATGTGGTCAAATGGGTCATTGGGCTAGAGCCTGCCCAAATCCCTGTAAGCCCCCCGGTCCATGCCCTAACTGCCATCAGGAGGGACACTGGGCTGTTGACTGTCCTCACACACCAAGAGGTGCCAGGCCATCCAGCTCTAACACTCCACACATAGACCTTCTGGGTCTGGCAAATGATGATTGAGGGGCCCCGGGACTCCTCCACCCGACCACTACCATCACTGTACAGGAGCCCAGGTAACCACTGAGGTAGCGGGTAGGCCCATCTCCTTCCTTTTGGACACCAGAGCCACCTACTCAGTGCTGAAGGAGTTTTGGGGACCTACCTCCCTTTCACAGTCCTCTATAGTCGGGGTAGAGGGCACACCTTATCAACCTTTACAAACTCCCATGCTTCACTGTGTCTTTAGAGGCATTGCCCTCTCTCACTCCTTTTTGGTGATTCCCCAGTGTCCCATCCCCCTTATGGGAAGAGACCTATTACACAAGGTTGGAGCTTCCATTACCTTCACTCCTGGACTGTGCCTCAACCCTGACTCGCCTTCAATCCCACTTTTACGCGCCCTCCAACCTGCTGCAAACCTACCGCCCTCTCCCTTTCCTCTGCCACCCCATCTAATCAACCCTGTAGTCTGGGATACCCTCACCCCCTCTATTGCCACCTGCCCCCAAGTAATTATCAGACTTAAAGACCCCACCTCTTTTCCCTCTCAACCTCAGTACCTGCTGCTCCTCAAGAATTTGCTGGGCCTGCAGCCAATTATCCAGGAACTTTTATACAAACGGCTACTACAACCAGCCAATTCCCTTTTCAATACTCCTATACTGGCAGTTAAAAAGCCTAATGGTTCTTACAGGCTTGTCCAGGACCTAAGAGTAATTAATGCAGCTGCTGTTCCCATCCATCTTGTGGTCCCTAACCCCTATACTTTATTGTCCACCATTCCTGCTTCCACCACTCACTTTTCTGTCTTCAACCTCAAAGATGCATTCTTCACTATCCCCCTCTATCCCGACTCCCAAAATCTATTTACTTTCACCTGGACCAATTCTGCCACCCAGACTTCTATTCAATTGACCTGGAAAGTCCTTCCCAAAGGCTTTAGAGATAGTCCCCACCTTTTTGGACAGGCTCTAACACAAGACCTCAAATCCCTTACTCTCTCGATCTCCACCCTCCTTCAATATGTGGATGATCTTCTCCTGTGCAGTCCCTCCCTACAAACCTCTCAACAGGATACTATTCTCCTTTTAAACTTTCTCTCAGAACACGGCTATTGGGTTTCACCCTCCAAAATTCAGCTGTCTGCCACTCAGGTCACATACCTGGGAATTCAGCTCTCTCCGGGCTACAAGGCCATTACCATAGACAGGAAAAAACTTCTACAATCCATGCCTGTTCCCAACAACAAAGATGAAATTCTATCTTTCCTGGGTCTTGCTGGGTTCCTTCATTCATGGATCCCCAACTTTTCACTCCTGGCTGCCCCCCTTAATGATGGACCTAGGACCTCTTACTGAGCCCCTCTTGACGCCTGTAGCTAAGCCCTTCTATAAACTCCAGCTGGCCCTTCTACAAGCCCCTGCTCTGCACTTGCCTGACCTCACACACACCTTTTTTCTATATATCTCAGAAAGACAGGGCTTCACCCTGGGAGTTCTGGGACATTGGTTAGGACCCTCTTTGCCCCGGTTGCCTACCTTTCTGAAAAACTAGATCCTACTATTCAGGGATGGGTTCCTTGCCTGCGAGCCCTAGCAGCGGCTGCCGTCCTCATTCAAGAATCCAAAAAACTCATCTTCGGGTCACCCACAACTGTTATATCCCCCCAATATCTTTCTGAAATCCTTACCTACAAAGGCCTGCAGAATTCTATCACTTCAGGTTGCCCTAGTTGAGGAAACCTCCCTCAATTTCAAAACCTGTCTTCCCCTTAATCCCTCCACCCTTTTTCCATTACCTCCCGATCCACAGGCAGGATCACAACCCCCCTTCCATAACTGTTTACAAACTTTAGATGAACTCCTACCCTTTTCCTCCCACATTCAGGATGGCACCCTTCCTCAAGCCACATATACCTGGTTTACTGATGGCAGTTTCTTTATCCATAAGGGTGTTCGACGGGCAGGATATGCCATTGTCTCTCTGGACAAAACTATCGAGGTAAAGCCCTTACCTCCTAACACCACAAACCAACAAGCTGAACTGATCGCCCTTACACTTGCCTTCACTGTAGCACAGGGGTCCTCTCTTACTGTCTATACTAATTCTAAATATGCTTTCTATATCCTACTGTTCCACACAGCAATCTGGAAAGAACGGGTACTTCTCAACACCAAGGGCAGCTCTATCGCCAACACCAAACACATTATACCACTGAGAGAGGCCTCTTCCAACAGCCATAGGCCTAGTACATTGCCACTCCCATTGGTCAGATCAGTCATCCATCTCCCTTGGTAACAACAGGGCAGATGAGGCAGCCCGAAAAGCAGCGTTAGCCCTTGTAATAGGTGCCCTCATTCCAGGCCCTAAAAAATCCGTTTCCACAACTACCAGCCCACTTTCTACTGAGGCCATACTCTCCTACTTACATCACTTATTCCACCCTAACATCCAATCTTTACAACACTGTTTTCAAACTTTCCTGCCTCTTTCTCATTCAGAAACTGCCTTCCTCAAAATGCTCACCAACTCATGCGAGATCTGTCAAAAAGTCAATCCCAACTCACCTTCCCGACCACCCACCTTTCCTACCCATCAAACACAAGGGCTCATTCCAGGGACTGATTGGCAGCTAGACTTTACTCACATGCCTCCAATAAAATGCCACCGGTATCTTTTAGTACTGGTGGACACATTTTCAAGATTGGTTGAGGCCTTTCCCACAACCAACAAACGAGCCCAGGCTGTCTCCAAAGTCCTACTGTCTGATATTATCCCACGCTTTGGGATACCTACTTCCTTACAATCAGACAATGGCCCCGAGTTTATCTCTCAAATCTCCCAAGCAACCACTAAAGCCCTTTATATTCCATGGCATTTTCACATCCCCTATCACCCACAATCCTCAGGTAAGGTGGAAAGAACTAATAGAACCCTCAAATCTATTCTTACTAAATATCCCTGGAGCTCCACCTTGACTGGATAAAACTCCTCAACTTGGCCCTACTTTGACTCCGGGCCTTACCAAGAAAACCTGTTACACTTTATCCTTTTGAACTCATGTATGGCCACCCCGTGCTTCCTCCAGGTCTCAACTTCAAACCTCCTATCCTTCCTCCTTACCTCATCAACCATTTACTTCAACACATTTGCTCTCTACTCTGGTCCCATGCTGACCTCTATACACCAAAACCTCAAGACCCCACTTCTCCTACTTTATATCACCCAGGAGACTCTGTGCTCCTATCTCCGCCACACCAAGCAACACCATCCCTAACTCCCAAATGGCAAGGACCATACACAGTAATCCTTTCCACGCCAACTGCAGTTAAGCTCCAGGGTCTTTCCCATTGGATACACAATTCCCACCTTAAGCCATTTGTCTCACCTTATTCCCCTCCCACCAAATCTCCCACAGGTTCCTACTCCTCCACCCTGCAGGGACCTCTTACTCTTCGCATTTCATGATGCATCACTTCCACTCATCACTGAAGAAGTTTCCACCAGCACGGAGTCCTAAGACCTCCCTTTCAACTGCCATGTGTTATGCTTTAGGATTGTTAACCCTGGTCTCAACACTTGTTCTCTCACCAGACCTATCTTCCCCAACACCAGCCCATTTCTTCTCTTTCAGACTGTCCAAAAGATTGGACCATCAAGGATTCCCTTTGCCATCCAGGTTGCTTTTCTGCCTACACATATGTCCCCAAAGAATGCTATAATTCAGCCACCCTATGTAAACATGGCAATCAGAAATATTGGACAGGGAAATCCAACTGTAAGGCTAGGAGAAGCCAGTGCCCCTAGAGAAATAGGGAAATAGTGCTTATTCCCACAGTTATTGTTGGAACTTCTTTACCCACACAGGCATGTCAGACGGGGGTAGAGTACAGGATCAAGCCCACCAGGAACATATATTTACAGTATTGCCCCAAATACTTCACAATATGTTCAATCCCAACAGGCCTCCCCTCAATCTGTCAATCAGATGGGAACTCATACCTAAAGACCCTCTCCTAACTCAAATAGTTAATACTACCCATCACTTACTTAACCTTACCAATCCCTCTCTGGCTCAGGGGTGCTGGATGTGTTTGAGAGCAGGCTTCTCTAATTTAATAGCTAGTCCTCTACAATTCAACAGTTCAATACAGCTCAATGAGACTTCCCTGGACCTGGCCAATGTCTCCCAACCTTTCTAGAGTGCCCCTTTTTTCAGTTCTCTCAGAGGTGGTTTACCTCAATGGGAAACACCTCTGTAGGAGAATTACAGAAAGAACAGTGTAGACAAACTCTCACTACTCACCATCCACAAAGGCTTGCTGTCTGCCAGTCTCTGAAACCTCCCTCCTGTGTGGGAGAACTGTCTATCACTGCCTTCTGCCTGGATAGAGAGGCACATGCACTTTGGACCTCTTATTTCCATCCATAGACATTGTCCCAGGGGATGAGGAAGTCCCTATACCCCTCATGGGTAATGTAAGACCTCGACCCAAATGTGCTATTCAATTTATTCCCCTACTAGCCACCTTAGGGGTCATGGCAGGCATAGCCACCAGAACTGCTGGAATAACCACATCCATTACTTATTGCCAACAACTCTCTAATCAACTAATAGGGGATATTCAACAAGTAGCTGAATCCATATTAACCCTTCAAACCCAACTGGATTCTCTAGCTGCTGTAGTCCTCCAGAATCACTGTGGATTAGATCTCCTAATGGCAGAAAAAGGGGGACTCTGCCTATATCTGCAGGAAGAATTCTGTTTTTATGTTAAACAGTCCATAATAGTAAAAACAAAATCAAA